ATTCTTGCTTTTAAGTCCCAAAGATAACAGCCAAGCACAGTTTTTACATGCTTGTGACAAATTCTTACTTGTGAAATGAAATCTGACCTAGAGCTTGCTAGAAACCAGGCCTAGTGAAATGACCATTCATCATTCTTTAATATGCTTGGGGTAGGCTATCTAATAACAACCTAGTCCTGCACCTCTCCTGCCATCACGCTGCTGCTGTTGCTTTTGTGCACTCTCGGACAAATGCCCTGAAGGGAAGAGAAAAAGCACTCGCTTCCAAAAGTACTCTTTATTTTTGGTATCCATTTCATGGCTGGTATGAAACAAATCCAGCTTGCTGGGCTTTGACATAGATTTTTTCAGATGTCAAAAAAGAGAGGCAAAATATATAGACATGGGAGAGCCTGGTTAATGAGGTGTCACAGCTATGGCTGATTTGTTCACTGCTTCTTTAATTTTATATGTGTATCAGAGTGATAAGGACCAACATTTCTCACTTTTTGTTTATGCACTATACAATTTAAGATTTAAGTGGAGCAGATTCTTGAGACTTACAGCAGGCTTTGTAACCGAGGCAGAATGCTCCACTCAAGTTGTGTCTATTTCAATCACATAGGGACCATTTGTAGGAGCAAATTAATGCTAAGCTTTATTCCTCAGTAATAAACACCCATTGTACCACTGTCCATGCACTTGTTCCAAGTGTGAGGCTGGACTGTGACCTGGAAGGAGATCATTCAGAAAAGTCTGACACCTGTTTTGAGGAATTCAATGTGCCTCTGATCCATGTACTTCAACTCTCTTTGCCAGGACAACTGCTTCTATCACTGGATCTGTCAAGTTGAGCCACTGAACAAGCCATTTCACTGGGTCTCCCCCAGTCAAGCTCAATTTGAGTTTTACAGTCCTTGATACTTGTGGGATATTGTCACAGAAACCATTAATGTACTTTGCACTGGGAATTATGCTGCTTGGCAGGGGCTATCTCTCCTCACGATACCTACATGTCCAAAGCTCAACCTAGTCTTGTAATGAGATTGCAAAAAGCAGTCATATATATTCAAAATGTTGGCCTGTAAGCCAGTAAGGCCTGAAAATATTTACCAATATGTCAAAATGCTTCTAGCTGAAAACTGTTTCTAAACCATTCACTGTTTGCAAGTTTAATGGCTTAAGGCTTATGGGCTCATGAATCACCAGCTTTCTTAGCAGCAGCATTTGAAATGTTGATATCTTAGCCTTGAAATAGATGTGAAGGTACCACAGCCTTTACAAGCTGTTATCGAAAGACATACTTTAAAAGCTCCCACAAAAGACTGAATGCAATAGAAGTAGCTGAGCAGGATGAAAGTAACTGAACCAACTTAGTTAAAGTCATTGTTCATGTCTGTGTTCGTTTCAGTGATTACCCTCCAGCTGGACAATGAATCATATTAAAGGAAGCTTTGCTACTTACAGTTCATGTGATAAAAGATCCAGATGACTTCAGAAGCAATAATGAGTATTTGGGAAACTATTAGTCTTATTTCAAATTACTGAATTCAACCAAAAAAAAATGGAGAGCAATTTCATTTATCACTTTTTTTTTTTTTTTTTTTTTTTTGTCAAGAAAAAGGTACCATTCTAAAAAATCCAAGATTTTCAGCTGAAAAGATGAATGAACATTTATGGGGGAAAAAATTGCTGTAGCAGATAGATCTGGAATGAGTATCTCTAAGGTCAAGTAGGTTATACTGGTAAATGGCACACCCTGTTTTACAGAACTGCAAAATTAAATGTTAAGCATAATACTAGAAAGATAACAGGGATGGAACAGACAAATACATGGCAAAACCAATTAAAAGAAATAAGAAATCTCAACTGTGAATAAAATAACAGTTTCATATACAGTTCTCTAAAATATATCATCAAGTGATTTATCTAGGTCTTGCAAGGGGATATATACTGTGGACTGTAAATTATAAAATATACACATTTTTCATCTACAACACTCATGACACATGAATGAACACATAAATACGGTAAAAAAGTTATGTTTCAATTTTTTTTAAAAAAGATATTACAAAAACCTATTAAAATAGAAAAAAATACAACTGAATGCTTATGGGTTTGCTTATTTGTGAATATCTTAAAAGGTAAGGAATTAATGGCTTGATGTCTTTTCTGAGTATCTGGCCCAATCTGTGCATGCATTCATCCACAATGTCAGTGCAGACAACTTGCAAATATGCCTCGTCCCTCCTATCCTCTTAAACCAGATTAAAATCCCAGTCTGTATCAAACATTTCTCTGAGGATGGCTAAGATCAGGTCAGCTGCAGCTCTACAAACTTTTTGCTCCATCAGTATAGGAAAAAAAAATACTATTTGGCCTATTACTCAACATATAACTCTTCATTATCAACCTTCTTTCTATACTCAAGGCAAGCCATTTAGCATTTTGCAGTGGTGCCTCAATTACCAGGCACAACTGGTATATGTAAAAATAGTTGCACATGAAAGGCAGAAACCCAGAAGTGGAATGACAGCCTTATCAGTAGGCTAACTCTCTGCCAGTCCCATTTCTACAATAAGTCTACACAGATGACACTGAGGCAGATGGTGTGCAACATTCTCACATAGAAAAACACTCCTGGAAGGAAGGTTCCAGGAGAGGAACAGACTATTGCATACATCAATTACCCAATGTCTGTAAAACCTTGAATAGGCTATCAATATGAATAAAGTGAGGATTTGTACACCCTGAGGTCAGCCCCTATCCTGTCTGTCCTACTCCATATGTTTTACAAATGCAATCATGCTCTGGCTCCAGCCCGAATATGTTGCCAAAACCCTCCTACCCTTTCTAGAATGCAGGCCAAGAGAAAAAGTACTTGCAGGCATAGCAAATATGCCTACTGACTACAGCACTGGGAGCAATCCTGAACTCCCATGAAATCTGGGCAACTGGACTGACCTTACAGATTTAGGGAGCAGTGGGGTTTGTATCCAAGCCCATATTATACTCAGTTTTTAATCTCTAGGTAGCCTTCACCCTACTTAGCACAAGTAGTAGGAGAAAACTACCAAAATGTTTAAATGCTCAGGTAGTCACAGCACACTGCAAGCACATGTCTAATAAATCTGTTAATCAAAGTTTTCTGTTCCACCTATATCACAGAGTTAAGTAAACTGAAAATTAAAATGGCTCAAAGAAAAGCTGATGGTTCCATTCTATCCAGCTGGAAGATTATAACTCTTTTGACTTCCTCATAAAAGTATTTCATCATATTTTAGATACCTGAAAATTGGCTTCCTTATCTAAAGGAAAAACCTGTTGTCCAGTACAATGATACAGTAAAACACCCGACACTGCCCTCAAAGGTAAGCTATTAGTGATTAACAGCTTGGGGGTGGAAGGAATTTCAGAAAAACATTCCAGTATATTAGCAATTCAGTCCACCAATTCTCTTGGAGCTTTCAGAAACCTGACGTCCCCAGAGATATCCAAATCTCTTCGAGTCGAGAAGTCAACACGACACTGGAAGCTTGCACGCTTAGTGTTTCATTGAACAGTGTAACCCACAGTTCCCCTCTCCCGTATGCTGTAGTTGTAGAGAAGAATCACTAGATGGAGCCGCACCGTCACAAATCTGATTTATGGCCCCTGCAAGAATTGTTGCCTCCTACAGCTGTTTGGCCTAAAACTGACTCGTTGCAGCACATGCTGATAACTCATCTTCTGAAAGACGGAATGAAATGCTCTCATTTACAAACGCAAAATGTACACAGAGAAAGTGACGAGATACTGAATGGAAAAAAAAAAAAAAAACAAAAAAAAACCACCAAGAAACCAACAACACTCACAGCTTTCAAAATCAAATAAATTTTAGAAGTGAACTGGAAGTTATTTTATCTGCCAAGACAGATCATATGTCTTACTTTGTTCTGCAAATCAGAAATCACAGCAGAATTCCTAGTGAGTGGCATGTTCAGTTGCTGCAAAAGAAATACAAGAGCTCTGGGGGCAAATCTCTGTAAATAAGCTCTAACACACTAAAAATGCAAACACATTTCCCATCAGTACCCCAGTGATATACTTAATTTCACACTTAAGACGTACTTTAAAAAGCATCTTTTTCTTCTAACTGCACTGGCATTTGTTTTGCTAGCATAAGGAAATAGTTGAAATGTTTTCATTGAAACCTACCAACACACGATTCATCTGGCTTTCCGGAGATAGACTATGTGCCGAAAGGGAATTTTTACCTGCTTTCATCCTACATCTGTGGAGTGCAAGTTGCAACCCAGTCCATTCCTGTGTATTCCCAGTCTGTATACAATGGTATTAATTTCATTTCCCATAAAATGTCAAAATTACAGATCCCCATATTTTGCTAGTGTTTTCCAAAACCTAGATATTACCAATACTTCACAAAATGAAAGCCGAATTCCCAGCCCATCTCCAAAAGGCACAGAAGCACAAAAAAGTTTAGGCTGACATAAAAAAGCTTACAGAAGCACTTGTTGACTTATATACCAACTCCTTCAGCAAAAGATCCTGCCGGGGAGGAGATCCCTCAACGAGGCTGTTAAGCAGTGGCAAGGGCACTGCTCCACCTGACCTGGAAGGTACTGCAGAAGGGAGCTGAAACAGCAGTGGAGGAAACCAGGCCCCATTCCCCCTCTCTTGGAGACTCCTCCTTGACTCCTTTCACCTGGAAACTCACAAGTCACAGGACTGAAATTCCAAAAATCTTACATACTTTTTGACGAGTAATTGTTCACACCTCAGCTGCAAAGAAACCTGTGTTCTAGGGGAAGGAGAGAGCTCACTTCCCGGGCTAGTTGGAGTACCAAGCCTCTTATGAGCATATTTCTGTGAAAAGCTCCTCCATGAGAGTCCATTACGAACTCACACGACACTTGGGTGTGTTTTAAAACGAAGACTGCAGTGAAGCTGTACCAGAACCAGCCTCCCAGCTTCTGAGGAGGTCGTGGCACAAATCCGGGGTGCTGTCTTTGTCATTTTACGCACCACAACTGAGTATGTCACCGAGACGAAGGCGCACACGTCCCGCAGGTGACCCCTCTCAGCACCCCAGCCGAGCCCAGTATCCAGCACGCCGGGAAGGGGGAGGGCTCTCTGCGGCCCCAAGACGAAGCGGAGCGCCGCCGGGCCGCCACCCCGGGCAGCGCGGCCCCGCCCCGCAGCGCTCCGCACCGCCCCGCACCGCCCCGCGCCGCTGCCCTGCTCCCGGCACCGCAATGCCGCTTCTCAGCGTGCCCAAGGAAGTGGCCGTCGGGACGGCGATGCTGGGGGTCGCCTTTGCCACGGGTATGCTTGCAGGTAAGCAGCGCCCCCAGGCCCTGCCACGTTCACGAGACGTGAAGGCTGCGCCTTCCTCGTGTTCCCCACCGGGGACGGGACGGGACGGGAACCGAGCGCCAGGCAGGTCCCTCCCAGGGCGGGCAGGAGTCCCGGGTGCAGCCCGGCGGTCGCCGGGGGAGCAGACCCCTTGGGGCTGCCCTGCGAGCGCAGATTTATTTTCCTGAGCTGCTGCTGTAAATACAGCGATGTTCTTAGAGCCAAGCCGCTCCCTGTAATCCAGCCACCGCAGTGTGGGGCAAGGCCAAGGTCCAGCGAAACTCAGGACACGCTCCCCGCCCGGTCACCTGCCCGCGTTTGTTTGGGCATGCCGAAGGGCCGGGGTGCGGTCCTTGCGCACAGCTTTGTTCTGGTAGGAGTTTCGCTTTCATTCCCGGGGGGCAGGGGAAGAACGAGCACGCGATCCAGGGGGGAGGGAGACTGGCGTTGTGTTTGTAACGCGGGCACTCAGTTAATCTTTGATTTAAGGTAAATTGTTGAAATAATCTACATCTCGGTATGGTCATCTGTAAAATAGAACTATTAACAGAAAATAAACCCCTCGAAATAAAAGTGTTCTGTCGTAGCAAATAACTACCAGGAGATGTGAAAATGAATTTGTTATTTCTTCAAAATTGTTAATCCATTTGGTAAAAGAAACATTGGGCATGAAAGCTGCAGTCAGTTCTGTATTTAAGTAGACATGTACTAAAACTTCAGCTTTTGGCGCCTACTTTGTCTGCATACTGGTTTCATACTAAGCAAGGCATTTTACAGTACCGCATTTCCCCTGGCTGGAGGGCAGGACAGTGTCATGAGAAGAGCATGGGGCCTGAGAAGACACATCATCTGATAGGCCTAAAACCTGGTAGCCTCTATTTATCTGCAAAAGAAAGGCCACAGACTAAGAAAATTGCGTACCTCATTCATGTATCTCTCTTTAAACTTGCCCTTTGAGTTTTGATGGAGTTACTTTTCCTGTAAGATTATGACAGTTTGTAACCCTCACATTGGCCACTGAACAACACAGTACTGAAGCCTTTCCCTTTCAGCCTTTGGAGGCCTGGACTGGACATCTTAGAGGCTAAAAAGAAGAAGGGGAAAAAAAAACTATAGTCCACCTGGTTATGTTGTGTTGTCCATTTTCATGGCTGTTTTAGAGCAGAGAACTTTTTAACCTTTAGTAATATTTCAGTGTTTACTTTATGTAAAATGGCAATAACTGAAAAGTATAAAAGTTCTTATTATTTATTTTTTGGTAGGTAAACTATACCCTTCTTTAGTTTTTGGGAGCCAGAGTGGTATGATCAGGAAAAACAATCCTCTCCGGCAATACATACTGGATCACTCTTTGCGGGAACATCCCATTCTAAAGAAGCTGCGGCTGGTCAGTATCACCCACACCTCGTCCTGAGCTCCTGGAATCCTGGTCACATTTCCTTCCTCCGACTTATTTGCATAACCCACTAGAGGGGTTTATTTAACTGGAAATACCCAGACTCTTCTATGTTAAGGACTACCTGCATGACTATTCAATAGTATTGGCATACATTTAGACATGTCTTTCTATCCTCGGCTCCCAAGGCCATGTGTTAGGGCTGCGCTTGATTTGGACTTGAACAAATGACTTCTGTTCACTTTGGTTGGCATATAAGGAACCTGTAGCTCAGACAAGTGATGTCTTCCATCAGGCTCCACTATCAGAGATGAGACATCCTGACTCAGGTTTGAGTCATTTCAGGTGAGATAAACTGTTCTTGTATAAAAGAAATAAAATGCTGTCTGCTGGAACAGGTTGGTTGGAATGATCCCTAGCAGAAGAAAGGAAATAGGAAAATATACTTTCCCTTGAACTGTCATGGCACAGCCCTGCTTCTCCCATTTCCCTTTCCTTAGTGCCAAGAGCCCTTCCACCCTGGGATGGGCACAGCTTCTCCAGGTTTGCACTGTGTAGCCAGGACTATGTGATCTGACATTTGGCAGACATGAACCTAGCAGTTCATTAAAGCATTCTACACATCTTAAAGGAAGTGCATTTGTTTGTGCAAATTCACAGAAATAAAGGACTTGCACAGTCAAAGTTTCTCTATGATTCTTTGTTAGTTACAAATATTGCACGTGTTTCAGCCATGGTAATTTTGGAGCACTTTACTGCTTTGAATAACCACTGTTTATGACACACATAACATCCTCCTCGTTTGTAGTTAAATTCAAGCCAATTTCTGGCTCATAGGTGGAGCACAAAGCAATCTAAAATGAGAAGACAGAGGTGTCTGTTTTTCCTGGAGTTTCACTGGAATTTTTTTCTTTAGGATAATGGTTTGGTAGATTTGGTTTTTGTTTGATGCGATATGGCTTTTTTTTTTTCCTTTCCTAGCTCACTGCTGATCATCCTTCAGGCAGAATGATGGTGTCCTGTGAGCAGGCTCAGCTTATGGCAAATTTGGTCAAACTCATTAAAGCCAAGAAAGTTATTGAAATAGGTAAGAGTGACACTTCATAGCAAAATAAAACTCTTGACTATCATTCTCCAAATACAGACATGTTTAATATAAAATATCCAGATACAGGAAGGCACTGCATACCTGTCAACACACAGGTGGGCAAACTACAGCATGAAAAGGAGTGTCTGATTTGCATTTTGTCTAACTGTGCATTCAGTAGTTCTGGCATCAGCATGGATAGCTCGTCAGTTCTGAGGCAATCTAAAAAACAGAGCTAAATACATCTCCTTGAGTCTTCAACAGTTGCAGGACAGGGTGTATTCTGTCCTTCCTGTGTCACTTTAGTGCTAGAAGATACTTTGCTGCACAAGCCCTGTATCAAATCCAATTTGCTTGACACACCTATTACTACCAGGATATCCTGAAAGACAGGCTGATGCTGAGCAGCCAGGTATGGCTTCCCACCATCTTCATTCTTGGCCTGACTGTTCCAATTCCCTGGTATTTGCTGCTCATCCAGTCTCTCCAGGTTACACATTCAAGACCTGACTCTGGCTTGTCTGTCCATGAGCCTTTTGGGAAAAGCTAACGTGGAAGTTTGCTAAAAGACTGATTAAAAAAAAAATTCTTCTCAACCTACCATTACATTAAAATGGAAGGAAAATGAAAAATCCTTATTAACAAATTTCTATCCTTGATTCCTTTGGGGATTTTATTCCTAAAGAGAGACCTATAGCCCTTTTTCCATGATACAGTAAGTGTTGATATCTCTTATGATTTTCCTAGGTGTTTTCACAGGTTATAATGCCTTGAATATGGCACTTGTCCTGCCAGATAATGGCCGAGTTATTGCCTGTGATATAAATGAGGACTATGCCAAAATTGGAAAGCCACTGTGGAAGGAGGTAAGCAGCATCTCCTGTACACAGTGGGGACAGCTGCCTTTACATGTGGAGATTTTGTTATTTTAGACTTGCACATTCACAAAGAAATACTCTTACCATTAAAGGAGGCTGATAGAGTTCAGTTTGGGAAGAAAAATAAGTGGTGTTTGGAAGCTAGAAATAATAGAACTATCTGAACCCCAGTCACTCCCTGAGTACAGCCTACTAACAGGTTATTTCTTGACTACTTTAATCAACACTGTCCTTTTTCATCTTAGGCAGGAGTAGAGCATAAAATTGACCTGCGGATTAAGCCAGCAATTCAAACGCTTGGTAAGTAACCTGAAACAACAGATTGTTTCCCTTTCCCTAGAAATAGAAGAGGGATACATTAGTGATGAGATTTAAGACCAAATATGGTTGTGAATATGATCCCTTTTGCTAATAGGGAGGCAGCTTCTCTTATATTAAAAAGAAAAAAAATCTTCAGGAGTTCACAGTTTTCCTACCTACTAGTAGAGAGGAAGAAAATGCTTGTCCTATGTTGCGGGCCGTACTAGTCACACATCTGTCTTGTCCATCACTTTGCTAATTTGTCAAGTACTATTGTCAGCTGCTTCTGAAAAGCTGATTAAAACAGATTAATCAGACAAAGCCAAATTTCTCTTATCCGTTGTCCTTTCTAAGCAAGTATTCCTTTGTTAAGAGAGGAAAAGTTCCCTGACAGGGCTGAGGTGCAGAAAAAAATTCAGAACCTAATATATAACTTAGGCTGAATTGTGTTCAGAGAAGTTTGAAATTAGGATGTGCCAAAAGCATGAAAGGCCATTAGTGAGGCAGTGACTTCTCTAATTCAAGGAAAGAGAAAATATGGGGCAGAGGAAATACTAATAAATGTTCTGAAAACACAAGACATTTTCTGGGATTGTTGGATGTAGACGGTTTCCAGTAAATGTGTTTGGTGGATCCACAAATCCATTGATAACCTTGTATTACTTTCAAGTTCATCCTTTCTAAAGAGGCAAATAATAAGCATTTGGCTGGTATGCACACTCCTTGAAGTCTATAAAAGCAGTACTTTGTCCAGGCATTGCTTCAGACAAAAAGATCTGCTGACAGAAGCTAATTGTGGGTTATAGGGGTGGCAGAGGACCTTAGGAGACAGAAATCACCTCCTCTGAAACTGGCAATTTGAAATTCTCAGTCAAGAAATCTGTTTAAGAGAACTTAAAACTGAATTCTACTTGCCTTGGCCCATAGAGGGACTACTTAGAGCAGTTTTTTGCTGTAAATATCTCTGACAGGGTTTGTCATGACCTGTGTCATGGCACTTGATCTGCAAGGAGAGATTTAGCATTGAGAACCTGTTCATAAAGTGAGAAAAGTTCTGATCCCCTTAAGAAAAGAGTTCTCAGCTGAAAAAAAGCTAAAGGTGGAGAGTATGTCTGGTTTCAAAGTGCTTGAGTTGTTTTTGCTGTACCTTTCAGCAGTCCCAGCTGTATCCTTCAGGTTTGGAGCTACTCCACAAACTCCTAAGCATGCAGAACTCAGGAACGGCATGTTTTATGGCATACATAATGCCTAGATTGGTTTCTGTGGGATAAGCTTTTCTAGTAATTACCTGTGGAGGAATAGACTGCCTGGTCAAGGCAGCAGAAAACATTTAATGAGAGCTTTGACACAAATGGATTACTTCCTCCTACACAGCACTAACCAGGGTATAACAACTCACTTTGTTGTTCATCTAGATGAACTGGTGGCCAATGGAGAAGCAGAAACCTTTGACTTTGCTTTCATTGATGCCGATAAAGAAAGTTACAATGAATACTATGAAAAATGTTTGCGCCTCATAAAGAAAGGGGGAATAATAGCTATTGATAATGTAAGTACTGCAGTTCTGATGGTAATGCACAGGCAGTTACACATAACACAAACAAAAAGAAAATTCAACATAAACTCTTTAAGTAAGCTATATAAAACACTGATAGAAAACAGGTTTGTTTGTTTTTTTTTTTTTTTTGTTATTCATTACAGAGAATACTCTGGATTATTCTGGTTTGTCTTGTAGTGAATTTATACTATGCACAGTACTTAGACAAGATCAAAAGTAGCACTTGTAATCAGTAACTATTAGTAGAAGTTATCAATTAACTACTTTTACAGGAAACAAAGGATATTAAACTTCAGGCACCTTTGGGGTTATGGTGGAAGCTAAATAAGGGCTCTTAAAAAACCTATATTTAAAGACATCCTTTTTAATTTTGGCTTCAAATCTACAGTAGAAGTAGTACAATTACCAAGTTCTGTGAACTCTCAATCCCACTTACATATGAGAGTTCCATGTCAGAGACGATTAGACATCTGAAATACAACAAATAATATAAATCTCTAAAAAATATACAGGAACTTTTCCAAAGCTTCCTTTGTGGTGCAAGGACCATATTGGAACAAAGGAGGTGCATCATATTTCTTTTTTCAATAGGTCTTCTGGAATGGAAAGGTGCTAAAACCAAGGAAGGATGACTTGGCAGCACAGAGTATCCACCGCCTCAACGAGAAGCTTCTCAGAGATGCACGTGTCAATATCAGCATGCTCCCAGTGGGTGATGGAGTCACATTAGCATTCAAGTTGTAACTCGAGGAAGCCCAGCAGATGGGAAATAGCAATCAAATCACCAGGAAAAATGCAGGTGGAACAATTTCAAGAATCTAATTTAAGCTATGTCTCCACTGGATAGCATAGCTTGGGAAAGTAGACTTCAGAAGCAGCTAAGTAGAGAAGAGAGATTCATTATGAGATCTACACTGGTTTCTTACTTTAATTGTAATAAAGGAAATAAACTTATGTGAAATTGTCCTTGTAAGACAGTGGTTGAAAAAATCCCCCTCTATTTATTGTCCAAGTGACTCCATATAACAAAGTAATTTTCGGTCTGAGAAGACCCTCTTGAGCAGCAGAATAATCAGTCAGTACCATCAAAAGGAAAAGAAGTGCAGTTTACTAATGTTTATAGCCATAATAGAAAAATGGATTTTTAATGAAATTACATCAAGGAGATTGCTAGCCTTCTCAGACTAAAAATATTTTAAGTTTGTCTTTGAAGGGTACTACAGAGCCAGCCTCAAAAAGACATCATCTGAAAAAAAAGTTCCTTTTAAAAGCTTGCCAAAGGACAAACAGTATTCGCAAATCTTTGTGCACAAGGACTGGGTTTCTTTAACCTAGGTAACACTGCGGGTAGATTTTTTTAAAGTCAGAATGAGGAAAAGCGAATGGGCAAGAAATAAACCAAAACAATTCTCCCTCTTTCCTGTGTCACTCCCCCTTTCCCCCTCAAAGAAGCAACTTGCTAGGTGCTCATTTCCTAGGAAGTTGCGAGCACAGAGTATTGGTGGTAAGCCTGTGGAAGGATTATGATTGTATGAGGATGCAATACATATGTGAACTGGCTATTCAAAATGTTACTGCAAAGATTCCCTTCCCTAGGCAGTATGGAAAAAAAATTTCAGCCTGCAGTTCTTTATTACAGATAAAAATTGATTAAATAAGGAACTGAAAGTCGAGTTTTACAGGCAAAAGCTTCACTGGTAACTCTTTTGGGGGACTGATAACACTGGGTATCATATGTATAGAGGAAAGAGATCTTCAGTTTTGTTGACATCCTGAAGGGAAGCTGTATCAGAACTAAGAGAATACTTCATCCATTTGCTTAAACAATGCACTTGAATGACTCAAGGCACTGGGGGACAAAGATTTCAAGTCTCAATGTTTAAAACTGTCTACTTGGCTCTTAATTTTGAAATTTCAGGTGAGTGGCTTGGGTTCTAGCAAGGTGCAGAAGTTCAGAGCATGGCTCTTGCCTGTGTCTCGGACACTTGCCATAGCATACTGCGGTGGAGAGAATGAAGCCTGATGGCTTCAGAGTAGGGTTATGACTGAAGAGATCTCAATTCTATTTCTGTCACTTATACTTAAAACCCTGATTCAGCAAAGCATATCAGGATCTGCTTAAGTACTTTACTGAATTGAGGACTGACTGCAAAATCCATGTCTGGGAGAAGGCCAGGACAAGGTGTGTGTTGCCCCTAAATGAGAATCTAAATAGGGCATGAAGTTTGCCCAATTTTTTTTCTGAGTACAGATTTACCCTCAGAGCTTCAAACCTCTGCACTCCTCAAATTTCTTCTCTGCATAAAAGAAATAACAGCTTACTAAATTCTTAGTGGCTATAACAGCTCTCAGATGGAGTGGCTAAAGGAGTGCACAGGATCATTACACATTCGCATACAGAGCTTCTGGCCATGTTCTACTTTACAGTTTTAATTGTCAGTAGATAAAAAAGAATCCTAAGGGTTAAAAACACAAAATGGGACACTTTAACAGCAGGAGCATCTTCTCAAATTTTCCTGCTTTCAGAGGCTGGAGGCTGATAAACATGAGCAAGCTAGAAGCTGTTAAGAATACATATCCTGCCCTAAAAGTACCATGATGGCCTTTCCCAGACATGAAGAAGTCATTGGAAGATCAATCACAGACTCTGTAACTGTTTTATTACTATTTTCCAGGTTGCAAGAACCCTCCCAGTGAAGCTGAGCCAAAAACAGGCAAGCACCATGAGTATTTTTGCAAGAAACTAGAGTTTAGCAACATTCAAAACCAGATAAAAGCACTCATAGTTGAATAATTAAAAAATAACTATTCTTTCTGTGGTGGGAACTAGCAAAGTCCCCATTACCTATGCTAGAGGAAGACCTCTCAAGTGCCTGAGGCTAAAGCCATGTGCAGCAGCCAGCTATCATTTTGCTTCTGCTTTGGGCTCTATTCCATTTTAAATATGCAGATCATAATGTGAGTATTTCATCAAACCTGTCTCCATCCTGATCACCTAATTACCATTAGAAAGAATAGCAATGTGTCCCTAAACTATAGATTGATGAGCCATCTGTAAGCAGAAACAAAGAGCAGAAGGAAGCTTAATTGAATCAAATATTTAGAATACATTATCTTATAGTTACTCAGAAACTGGCCTTCTCTTCAGGCTTCTGTCCTGCACATCTGGAATTCATCACTGCTAACTGCATTTGATCCTTCAACCTTACTATGAAATGACTGCTGGTAATATATAATCATGGTTTAATTCAAGTGGTGAATCAGCTGTGGGGAATTTGTGGGGCAGTGGGAATTTAGACTTCCATTAGCTGATGAGAATGGGCCACCCAATAATGCAATGCCAAGTCTTTGTCTCTCTCTAATGGAGACACCACGTATGGAAGCTCGTGGGTCTGCTCACCCCTCTCGGGTAATACACCTGCCTGAGCTACTGCTTGCACTGTAGAGGCTCAGGATTTTCTGCCCCTGGAGAGGAGCTGACCCAGGAGCACAGCTGTTGCCCAAACCCTCCCAGCCCAGCTGTCCCTGCAACACCAACATCTCTTCTGCTTGAAAGGGAGGATCCCAGAGGGGCCAACATCAGTGACAAATGTACACTGGGACTTGCTCAGAAGCAAATGGGGCTGAAGGATGGGTCATTAAACAGAAAATAATGACAACAACAATGAAAAAAATAATTCCCTCTAATGTGGTAACTCCCAGAAGCCACCATGAGAGTTAAAGCATGTAATCCTAGCTGCTGGTTAGGTCTCTGAGTCCCTGCTCCAAAGATACCACATTCAAAATGGTATGGCATGATACGATACTTAAGTGGGTGACAGGAAAGGGAACTAAGACTTCCTAAGAGTAGGCTTTGCATCTCTGCTACATAATTAAATGAAGAGGACTGAGACTGAATGCTCAGAAATCTAAGAGGGAAGGTTGCCCCAGAAAAACCAGCTCATTGTCCAAGGGTAGACGCAAGGCTCAAGGCTCGGTTCTGCATTTTCAATGCTGCAGCTTTTAATCCTGCTGGGACATTGGGGAACAAAGCAGGGAGTATCCTCAGTCTCTCATGTTACTGAAGAAAGTAATGTCCAAAGAAAACCTGGGCTACTTAGTGTAACATAACTTTCAGGCATTTATTGAACCTCTGACAACTGTCAGTCCTTCTTTTAACAAACTCAAATGTTTTTAATCTATTTTAATTCAGTCACATTGCACACCGACAGCACTTTGTGTGAATTGCTGCTTATAGAAGACAACTAGCAAACTTGTGATAAAGCCCTTAGGATACAGAAAAAGGAACATGAAAATAAACTTCATCCCAACTCCTTCGAGGATTGAGCAGTTCCCAGAAACCTTTGCAGCTCAGGTCTGAGGGATATGCTGTTATCTCAAGCACTGCAATCTTGATGCTGGAGTGGCAACAGCAGCAAGTGCCATAACTGGCTTGTTTTTGATGATGTAGTAGCACAGTGTTGGCTACATCCCTGCTTATGCTCTGTTTATCACTTGAAGAAATCGATCCTAAATGGTCACAATGGGAGTAAAAAAACTAAGAGATCAGTACTGTTTTAAGAGATTTTTTTCCTTGTGTGCTGGGTTGGGCTGGAGGAGAGTTCATTTTTTTCAGAGCAGCTATGTTTTGGGTTTGTGCTGGAAACAGTGTTGATGTTCCCTTCACTCCACTGCATCAAGGATGCATGAAAAATTGGGAGGAAGGAGAACCAGGCCAGCTGACCCAAACTGACCGAAGGGATACCACATGGCATCATGGTCAGCATATTAAATGGGGGGAAGAAGGAGGAAAGGCAGACATTCAGAGTGATGGGGTTTGTTTTCCCAAGTTCTGTGATGGAGCCCTGCTTTCCTAGGGATGCCTTTCCTGCCTGCAGGTGGGAAGTAGTAAATGAATTCCTTAATTTTACAGCTTCTGCTTTGTTTATTAAACCATCTTTATCTCAGCTTACAAGTTTTCTCACTTACACCCTTCCAATTCTCTCCCCCATTGCACCAGGGGTAGTGAGGGAGCAGCTGTGTGGGGCTTAGTTGCTAACTGGGGTTAAACCACAACACCCTAGTAACTGAGATTAATACAGCTTGGTTTTATCCATCCCATCTACTCAAAGTGCACAGGTCTCCTCCATCATGGCATCACATGTACACCACCTTGAGGAAGGTGACCATGCTGAGTGGCACCATCCCTTCTTCCAACGAACAGCCAGATCAACACAGTAGAATAACCTAAAGCACCCCATGCACAAACGATCTGGGCCCATTTCTGCATGGTTTGCAGCACATTTGATTTTAATGCTCATTCCATTTTAATGGGAGAGGCAGCACTGTCATGGCATTCCCAGAATGAAAATGTGGAAATCACAAATACAACTAGAAGCATCTTCCAGGAAGGGACTGCTGATGACATCCCAAACAAGCATGAATGAGAGAATGACAAAGCTGATTTTTCCCTCTGTGCACACCTAAGAGCTGCAAATTAGCATTTCCTGCCACAGTGAACACTGAAGTTTCTTCAGAGACACTTAAAGAAATTCTTTTGTTCCCTAACTCATCACTTGCTCTGCTCTCTGGTCTGCTAAGCCTTTTCCCAGGGCTGTGGCATTTCTCTGCTGCTGCATATTGTGCCAGTGATCTGCACTAGATGAAAAGGCTCTGCACAAGTATAAAGCATTACCTCTGCATAATTCTAATCACACAAAATTGGCCTCATGCATTTGCAGCTACTCATGGTTTCTAAGTCACCTGTTTTATAATAATTTCTAAAGCAATGTTTTGAAAAAGGAAATGAACAAACATAAAACCTGCAAAAAAGGGAAATTAATGTGGGATTTTAGACAAGTTATTTATCTTCCTTTTTGGCTTAGTGCAATACTGTAGGGATAAGCACATAACTAGCTGCTTTAATATTTACTGATTATAAGAAAAATAAACACTGATGATAAGTCACTGCTTTCCAAGATTAGATTTCATATT